ATTTGCAGCTCTCCACTGGCAAATTGTGGCGTCTCCATATGAGTGAAAAATTCTCGAGAGGGACGTTAAACAGCAAACAAACAACCAAATTAAAATCATTTTAGCTTTTTTGAATAAAATGATAAAATTAAGAGTTATCCTTCAAGGCTGAGGATCGGATATCCTTAAACCAAGCAACTTACGCGTGATTAAAGTTTGACACAAGGCTTTGCATTAATAGTCCTATAATTACATGTATATGTGATAATTCTTTAATTAATTTATATTTTATTAAATGGCATGTAGATAATGAATAAGTATTTCGAATTTTTTATGTTTGACTTCCGGGAGATCAAATCCGATTTTAATGAACCATTGGCGTCGGAAGGAAATTGATAGTGGGGTGGCTAATTGAAATAGAAAAAAAAAATCAAACCTGAAAAAAAAAACTTGACAAGCAAAAATAAAAAAAAGGAAAATTGTTCTTTCTCCAAACCCGAAAATCCTATTTCGGGGGTGGGGGGGGGGGGGGGGTCGAAATCTTTCAGTACCAAATTCTTTTAAACACTACCAATTACCCTTCTTTCACTACAATGAATCGTGCCTGTAGAAAGTGGGGAGGGAGGGGGGAGGCTAGACCTACGCCCGAATTTTCAATGCCTATATTATGTCTACCTTTATAAAAAAAAAAGGGGGGGCGATAGCCCCCCCCCCCCGGTTCCGACGCCTATGTGAACCGGTTTTTCTTAAACGTGTCATTTCACTCAAAAAATGTCTTTCAAAGAATGAATAATTTTTAACATCAGAATAATTTAAAAGTTTAATAGCTTTCTGTCAAATATGACCAAAAAAAAAACAACAAACAAACAAATAAACAAAAAAAAAAACAAACAAACAAAACACGTATATAAAATGTCTACTTGATTGCCTACCCGATTTACCAACCTCACGGGCGGATTCAGAGAGGGCCTATGGGGCCCGCCCCCCCCCCCTTGTGTCCAAAATATACATAAGATTTAATAAATCAATTGTTTTTTGGTTTGGCTGTGGGCTACCTACCCCGACCAAAAACTTGTCGGGCCCCCCTTTTCAAGATTCCTGGATCTACCACTGAACTTGGAAATCAACAATCTAAATTACTAAGTATTTTAAAATTAAATGCAAGTTTTACAGCGAATACACATTAACCTATAAAAATGAGTCTTAAAATTTCAGCACAGTTGATAAAATCAGGAAGCTGTATAATAGAATCAGAAATTAGAAAAATCTCGAATAGTCCCGGCTTTTAATTTGCCACGGCCCAGGTTTCCTATTTTCAAACACTCTTTAAACTGGAACTCCGCGCATTTTTTTTTAAATAAAAGGACCAGTTTAGATGATGATAAAGAAGTTACCACTGCATAACATGAAACGTCTAATGCATATAAAGATTTGAGCACATCATATAACAAATTAACAACATCATATAATTAATTAACCACCTCATATAAAGATGTTACTACTGCAAAGCATGATTTAAGGAATATATATAATAATTTTACTATATAATATAATGATGTTAGTACTGCACATAATAGATTTTTCACTTCATGTAAAGGTGTCGCACTGAATGAAATTAACTTGGCACTCCACATGCAGCGGGTTTCATACAATGTAATGATTGCTTTATCACACAAATTATGTTTGTACTGTATATATTGAATTTATCACATGACAGAAAGATATCAATAATGTATATAATGGAAAAACCACTGCATATAATGATTTTACAAATAATGTATCGATATTATCACTTCATTACATTATTTAACCACTACATATAATGACATTGCCACTGAATATAATGATAAAACCACTGCATACAATAAAGTTATCAATGAAAATAATGATTTTATCACTGTATATAATGATAAAACCACTGCATATAATAAAGTTTTCATTGAATATAATGATTTTATCACTGTATATAATGATAAAACCACTGCATATAATAAAGTTTTCATTGAATATAATGATTTTACCACTATATATAATGACTTGACCACTTCACATAAAGGTTATTCCACCTCATATAATATGAAAATGACCTTCAGGCAGCTATGGCGTTCCATAATTTTCTAAATGAAAAGTACGTTGGGGGATGGCTTCTCTCGTCTCTCCATTGTTATACCTTAAATTGGTTCCTTTATATAAAAGGCTTACATTTTCCATGTTTTTCTGAGCCTAACGGCCTCAGGCAAACAGTTTGGTTCTTGGGTCTGACAAAATGCATGTTGCCCTCGAATCCAGTTAATAATGTATATTGTTCCACAGCATCTGATATGAAAGATCTTTTAAACAATTTTAATCTGCATTTTGGGACAGTGAATTATTCTTTATTACATTTTATTACATTACTTTTTGTGTCCTATGACGTAGACAACTAGAAATACATTGGAGGAGATCCTCAGATATACCTTAACTTTGTAATTTAAAATTTTTGAGACCTTTTTGCCATACCCTGTCAAAAGCTTTAGAAAGATCACAGAAAACCAGGACTGTGTATTCATCAATACACATGTATTTTGAACAATACTATGATATATTTCTAATAATTGGTACACAGTTGAATGACCGGGTAGAAAATCGGCTTGATATCGATAAAACAAAATATTACAATGAAAATAAGAATTATTCTCTCCATAGTTTTACTAACAAGGAACCAAAGAAACCTTAGAAACCAAAGAGATATCATCCTTAAAAAAATTGACATGAGCTATTTTCCAGAAAGATGGAAACTTTTTTTTACAGATAATGACCTAGCTGTTAAATGACATAGTGCAGCTGTAGTGAGTGCATGGTTTAACAACTGTATGAAGAGTTTTGACTAACACTGTCAAGACCTATGGCGTTATTCACGGGAAGTATTGAAATGTCTACTACTTCCTGTTCGTCTATGATAATACTCGTATTACAGAGTGTGTCGTTACACATTACACAGATTATATATATTTGTTAGTGTTTCATTTGAGTCGACTAGAGTCGAAATAGATGAAAAATGTGAGTTTAATGCTTCTATCTTGTCTATATCAGAATACACCATTTTTTTTTTTATACCTTTATCATTATATATTTGTATCGGTGGTATTTCGTTCGGTAGTTTCACTTTGAATGAATCATCAACTTCCAATATACAAGTAACTTGTTATTGTCCCCCGCTTTCGCGAAAGCGGAGGGACATTAAATCTCATTCGTCTGTCAGTCACTCAGTCTGTCTGTCTGGCACAAAAACTTTAATCTTGATCATCACTTTTAAATGAGAAGAGATAGGGCTTTCATATTTCACTTGTACAAAACCTTTCCAAATATACTATGATTTTTGACCCCCTGACCTTGACCTTGAAAATTGACCTACTTTTCAAAAAGAAGATGGGCGTACTTGGCATGCGATCTGCAGGAATCATGTGTACGAAACATTTATGGTTTAAATGTCCACGATTTGGTCGGCTGACCATTAGTGGACAGACCTTACAAGGTTACGCACATAGGAAAATGTTTAGATTTACATTGAAATTGCTTGCAAATTTGAAATATTTAGTCCACTTATCTAAATACTTACGATAACACAGTAACACTTCATATAAATGATAAACACCTAACAAGATAATAGGGTATGATATATAAAAAATGAAGTTTCAGTAGGTTTGACAAATTGCTTTCGCTCACCGTGCAAAATCTATCTCTTTTAAAACTTTTATATATCAGTAAATAAAATTCAAATGATAAACGACTTGATTGTTTGTATAAAAAAAAAAATAAAATACTTCATATTAGCATCGAACCAAAAACTTCTCGACTCCCATGTGTGTTGGACTCGTAACGCATACACTGAGCTATCATCGCTACACAAACTCTGTGGAATTTAAAATGACAAAGAAGCAACGCATTTAAACATTGGTATTTTCGGGGGGGGGGGGGGGAGTTCATTTTTTATAGTCTTTCGGTCTTCTCTCCATTTTTTTTACAAATGTTTGATTGTTTATTTGAATACAAATGCACGCAAATTTCTTTTTTAAAATCGTGGAGAGATGACCCAGAGATAGCAAATTTTTAGAAAAACGTGTTTAAAAATGTAACATTTTGTACCAAATGACTCATCTAGCCATGTTTAAAGTTATTTTTAAGGAAATCAAAACACACTATAGGGGAAACATTATTTATAACTTTTGAAAGAGATAAGGTAGCATTCATATTTGACATGTGCCTTACCTGTGACAAGACGTTTCTAATCATGCTATGATATTTGACCCCAAGACCTTCACCTGGAAGTTTGACCTAATTTTCAAAAATTTTAACATTAGTGATAACTTTTGAATGACAGAAGATAGGGCATTCAGATTTGATAAGTACATAACCTGTGACAAGAAGTTTTCGAATGTGCTATGATACTTGACCAAGTGAACTTGAGCTTCAAGTTTGACCTAATTTTCAAAAAAAGTAATCATTGCTGCTAACTGTTGAAGGAGAGAAGATAAGGCATTCATATTTGACATGTGCATTACCTGTGACAAGATGTTCCAAATCTGCTATGATTTTTAACCCCCTGACCTTAACCTTGAGGTGTGACCCAATTTTCAAAAAAAATCCATTGCTGATAACTTTTGAATGAGAGAAGATAGGGCATTTATATTTGACATGTGCATTGCCTGTTTCAAAAATGTACTCTGGTTTTGACCTCGTGACCTTGACCTTAATTCTTTGAATTAGCTTGGTTTTGCTTGAATCCTCATAATATGTTTCTATATATTTCAATAAGAATCGGTGAGACGATGATGTGATTTGAAGAAAAGTTTACGATGATACATGTATGATTTAAAATCTGAGAGTTTTAGACTTAATTTAAGGATGGAAGGGGAGGCTTAGCCTTCAACTTCTTTATTCAATTCTGCCACTGCATGTTTTATAGAATTACATGTACTATCTCAATTATGGCTAAACATCAGTGTTAAGAACTTAATTAAATACATACATTTAAATTACAGGTATGGAAAAGGTGAATTTTGCTGGTGGGGAACCTTTCATTGTAAAGCGTGGATCATTTCTGGGAGAGCTGGTGAGATTTTGTAAGGAGGACCTAGAATTGCCAAGTGTCACCATTGTAAGCAATGGAAGTCTCATAACTGAAAAATGGTTTGAAAAATATGGTGAGTATTATTCAACTTATTAAAAGGAATTGTTCAGTAATTTACTTTGTTTTTTGTTAAAAGAATTTGTATACGTATTTCCCCCATTTATTTTTGTATTAGTATTATATTTAAAATTTTATTCAGTTCCAGATTTCTAGGATTTCATATGATGTATATATATACATTATTAACTTTTCAACCACCTTCTGAAGAATTTACATTGACATTGATTTATCTGTTTCAGGGGAATACCTGGATATTTTAGCTGTGTCGTGCGACAGTTTTGTCCCGGAAACAAACAGACACATTGGTCGTTGCCAGAACTCAAGCAAAAAAGACCATCTGGAAAGTTTGTATCGAGTGCGAGACTGGTGCATAAAGTACAAGGTGCGACTTAAAAAATGGCGTTATTAAAGAACTCTTATTTAAATACAATGTAGCATGCATGGCAAAGAATTTTAAGATGGAAGTTTTTGTTAGTAAGAATTTGTGTACATTTTTTACATTTTTCCATCAACATTCTATGTATTGTGAAACTTTTCAAAGGTTGCCTTCAAGATTAATACCGTGGTCAATACTCACAACAAAGATGAAGATATGAGTGAACATATTGCTGAACTTTCACCCTGTCGCTGGAAGGTAAGTAGAACGGTTACTGAAACTCTTCTCAGAAAATTGCTTTCTTCATCCCCTTAAATATTGTAATGTATTAAGATGGAATTTGAAAAACTGCCGGTACATGATTGCTTGATACATCAATGTGCGTGTATGTATACTGAAACCCTAGATGTACAGAATTATTAAAAGAAAAAAATAAATATTTTGTTACCTTTTTATCAGGTATTTCAGTGTCTTCTGATCGGTGGAGAAAATGTCGGTGAAAATGCAATCAGAAACGCAGAAAATATGGTCGTGACGTCAGAAGAATTCCAAGCCTTTTGTGAACGACACAGGGATATCTCTTGTTTAGTTCCAGAATCAAACGTACAGGTTACATCACTTAATATTACGTACTTTAATTCAAATTTTGGTTTGCGTGAATTCTGCTCAATCATTTATAAACAAATGAATACGTAAGTAAAAAAAATTACATGCTGAGTTTTACTGGTGATTACCTTTCACATTATTTTTGTAGATGAAGGATAGCTATCTCATCCTTGATGAATATGTAAGTTATTTTATAGCAGTGTCAACTAACAAATCACTTTACGTGAATGCAACTCGGTAGTTTTGTATCACCAATATTTTGATTTTAGATGAGGTTTTTGGACTGTACACGTGGTAACAAAGATCCCTCTCGCTCTATTCTCGATGTTGGAGTAAAAAATGCCCTTAAATTCAGCGGTTTTGACGAAAAAATGTTTCTCAAAAGAGGTGGCAAATACAAATGGAGCAAGGCGGACATGAATCTCGAATGGTAAACCCTGTAAAATAATCCTGCATTCTAATACATGTACATGTATATTATCTATTATTTTTACGGCCAGAAATAAGTTTTACTCTATTAAAAACGAATGTCATTTTTAACACAGATGCTATTATATTTATTTTCCTGCATAGAGATTTATATTTTAAAACAATTTGTGATTGCGAAACGTGTACAGTATCTAAGTGATATACACTAATTAGCTCACCTGAGCTGAAAGCTCAAGTGAGCTTTTCTGATCACCCGTTGTCCGTCGTCCGTCCGTCTAGCTGTTTGTCCGTCCGTCCGTCTGTAAACTTTTCACATTTTCAACTTCTTCTCAAGAACCACTGGGCCAATTTTAACCAAACTTAGTACAAAGTATCCTTAGGTAAAGGGGAGTTTAAATTTTTAAAATAAAGGGCCAAGTCCCCTTACAAGGGGAGATAATCAAGAAAAGACAAAAATAGGGTGGGGTCATAAAAAAAAATCTTCTTCTCAAGAACCACTGGGCCAAAAATGTTGAAACTTATTTGGAAGCATTCTGGGATAGTGTAGATTCTAAATTGTTAAAATCATGACCCCCGGGAGTAGGGCAGGGCCACAGTAGGGAATCGTAGTTTTACATTGAAATACATAGGAAAAATCTTCTTCTCAAGAACCACTGGGCTAGAAAAGCTGAAACTTATATGGAAGCATCCTGGGGTAGTGTAGATTCTAAATTGTTCAAATCAGGACCCCCGGGGGTAGGGTGGGGCCACTATAGGGAATCCAAGTTTTACATTGAAATATATAGGAAAAATCTTTAAAAATCTTCTTCTCAAGAACCACTGGGCCAGAAAAGCTGAAACTTGTGTGGAAGCATCCTGGGGTCGCGTAGAAACTAAGTTGTTAAAATCATGACCCCCGGGGGTAGGGCGGGGCCACAATAGGGAATCCAAGTTTTACATTGAAATATATAAGAAAAATCTTTAAAAATCTTCTTCTCAAGAACCACTGGGCCACAAAAGCTGAAACTTATATGGAAGCATCCTGGGGTAGTAAAGATTCTAAATTGTTCAAATCAGGACCCCCGGGGGTAGGGCGGGGCCACAATAGGGAATCCAAGTTTTACATTAAAATATATACGAAAAATCTTCCTCTCAAGAACCACTGGACCGGGAAAGCTGAAACTTATGTGGAAGCATCCTTGGGTAGTGTAGATTCTAAATTGTTAAAATCATGACCCCGGGGGTAGGGCAGGCCACAATAAGTATAACATGGGGGAAATCTGGTAAAGAACAGCATGGCCAAAGTTGCTCAGGTGAGCGATGTGGCCCATGGGCCTCTTGTTTTTCATGTTTATGACAGGAAGTTGTTATAAATACATGCATAGGATAGTCAATTTTTCTACTTCTCTAACATTGATGCCTATTCATAAACTTGTGGGAATTACTGTTTTTAGCTCACCTGAGCCGAAGGATCACGTGAGCTTTTCTGATCAAAATTTGTCCGTTGTCTGTCGTCGTCGTTGTTGGCGTTGTTGTCGTTGTAAACTTTTCACAATTTCATCTTCTTCTCCAGAACCACTGGGACAATTTCAACCAAACTTGCCACAAAGCATCGTTGGGTGAAGGAGATTCAAGTTTGTTCAAATGAATGGCCACGCCCACTTTCAAGGGGAGATAATAGAGAATTTGTGAAAAATTAATAGCATCTTTTAAAAATCTTCTTCTCAAGAACCACAGGGTCAGGAAAGATGAAACTCATGTGGAAGCATCCTCAGATAGTGTTAATTCAAGTTTGTTCAAATCATGACCCCCGGGGTAGGGCGGGGACACAATGGAGGATCAATTCTTTACTTAGAAATATATAGGAAAAATCTTTAAAAATTTTCTTCTCAATAGCAGAAAATCCATTATGAGTCATATTTATATGGAAGCATCCTCAGGTAGTGTAGATTCAAGTTTGTTCAAATCATGACCCCCCGGGGGTAGGGCAGGGCCACAATGGAGGATCAAAAGTTTTACATTGCAATATATAGGAAAAATCTTTAAAAAATCTTCTTCTCAGGAACAGGAAAGCCCTGATTGGTCATATTTATATGGAAGCATCCTCAGGTAGTGTAGATTCCAATTTGTTCAAATCATGACTCCCGGGGGTAGGGTGGGGCCACAATGGACTATCAAAGTTTTACATTGAAATATATAGGAAAAATCTTTTAAAAAATCTTCTTCTCAGGAACAGGAAAGCCCTGATTGGTCATATTTATATGGAAGCATCCTCAGGTAGTGTATATTCAAATTTATTCAAATTATGACCCCCGGGGGTAGGGTGGGGCCACAATGGAGGATCAAAGTATAGGAAAATATCTGAAGAACTGCAAAGCCATGATAAGTCATTTTGATATGGAAGCATCCTCAGGTATAGTGTAAATTTAATTTTGTTCAAATGATGACCCTTGGGGTAGGGTGAGGCCCAATATGGGATTGAAAATTTTACATAGGAATATATAGGAAAATATCTTCTCAAGAACTGAAAATCATGTTTAGTCATTTAGATATGGAAGCATCCTCAGGTAGTGTAAATTCAATTTTGTTCAAATGATGACCCCCGGGGCAGTGGTGTATCCATGAATTTCGTAAGGGGGGGGGGCAGTAGAGGCATTGGGTCTGGGGGCTGCATTGAAGCCCCTAGTGGGTCTAGAGCAAGGCCCTGGTAGGGGTCCGGGAAGCTGACGAATTCTTACAAAGAAGAGATTTTTTTCCTTGATTTTAGGATAATGGACCTATAAGTTCTACATAAAAAAAATTCAAACGGGGGGCGCACGCCCGGCGTGCCGGCCCTGGATCCGCTTTTGCAGGGGTAGGCTGGGGCCCAATAGGGTGTCGAAAGTTTTATATAAGAACATATGGAAAAATATTTCTTCTCAAGAACAGAAAAACTATGTTTAGTCATATTGATATGGAAGCATCCTCAGGTGGTGTAGATTCAAGTTTGTTCAAATGATGACCCCTGGGATAGGGAGGAGCCACAATGGGGTATCAAATTTTTACAAAGGAATATATGGGAAATTTTTTTTAAAAACTTTTCAAATACAACAAAGCTATTTGTTGAATTGACAAGGAAGGTACCGGTAGTTTAAAATTCAACCCCCCCCCCCCCAGGTAATCTTTCAATACTGAACTGATTTGTGCTTTTGCCTAGCCAATTTGCTCAGGTGAGCGATGTGGCCCATGGGCCTCTTGTTTTTGTTTTTTGTTTCTAAAAATATAATAGGTCTTATTTAACTAAGGTAAACACATTGAGACTTGTTAATCTTCTCTGCTCTGTACAAGATAATACAATTATTGCTGTTTTTTTTTGAGGTCAATACGATGATTTAACGCACCTAAGTGGTACTATATTCGGCCCAAAGGGCGTGGTGATTATTGTACCTCGAGGATGGCTAAATCATCCTGTTGACTGAAAAAAAAACAGAAATATATAATTGTTTCATTATATGATTAAATGATACAAACTCGCTAAGCAAAGCATGACTTCTTTCTTGATTATTTATATTTGCTGAAGTCCTAGCAAAACACAGTGAGGAATCAAAGTAAAAGATTAATAGCGATTCTCTGTAACCACTTAAACTTCTTTGCCACGCATGGTCACCGATTTTGATGAAACTTTGCCCATTATTACAACTTGACACCAGAAACATATATCAAATAAAATTTCGTTGCTAAGTGTCTTGGTTGCCATGGTAACAGCCAGAAAAGTTGGAAAAATTGAGATTTTCAGCTACTTTGAATATTTATTAAGCCTTAATAAAGAATAAGAATAACAAACAAACCATTCTCCCCAAAACCTGACACCTTGTTGCCACTTATGCTATAAAGAAACTATTTAGAATTTATCTCTAAGTAAGTGGTAACCATGGGTACATTTGGAATACATTCTAGATGCTGAAAAATGCAGAAAAACGCTCAATATTCACTAATGATAGGTGTTAAATGATCAAACTCAAACAACAATGTAAGAAAAACAATGAAAAATATTTGACCTTAAGTAATTAGGTATTGGCAATATTATTCTAAAAATAACTTTTATGGTTGCCATGGTAACACAGTGTTACCATCCAAAATGTGTTGCTAAGATTGGGTTAATGCTACTATCTTCAGGAAAAATCATAAATTTCATGACTGGCACATATACATCCTTAGGACCTTGCAACACCGACAACATAAGAAAAATTGGGATTAATTGTTACTTTGCAGTGTAACCATGGAAACAATGTACCAGTAGTTTAAAGTGATATTTTTTTGCTGCCTTAGGAATTTACTTACCTTTTATTCAAGAAACATATTATTTGACTCACCTTGAATAGTACTTATCTGGTAAAACTAAAGTTGAATATCATATATTGATAACGTTTGTTGAAAAATACAACACTGTTGCTATGGTAACCAAGAAGGGAAAATGTCCGATTTTGTTAATTTTATATCAATATTAAACCCTATGTGCCAGCTTTTTGCATCCAGTTAGAGATTGGGTGGCAGTCAAAATTGAAAGTCAGGTTAGTTGTTCATATTTACCAATCATAAAAGTTTTGGGAATCTACATACAAGGGTACGTATCCAAGGAAACAGAATATTTTTCAGATTTTTATGCATATTTTTTCGGCTTATTTCCATAGCAACGCTCTATTTAAAGAATTGAATTTGAATTTTTTGAAATGTGAGAATTAGGGTCACATGAACATCTTTAACAATTGATCATTTGTTATATAGAAATATGCTTTTTAAAAAGATAGGATTAAATTTAATCACTAAGAGAGTAAATTTAAAATCCTTTCTTGGTATTAAAACCATGGCAACCATTGCCAACCTATAAGAAATATCATATTTCTTCCTTGGTATATGTTACAAGGATCTTTTGTCTATTATTTGCTTGCATTTCAACCTATATATTTTTTTTTATTCTTAAGTGTATGACTTTATAAAATTAAATGAGCAAAATTATTACTTTTGAATACTTTGTTTCCATAGTAACGTATGTAGTAGTTGATTTACCAAACATGTTTATCATGCATTTAAGACATCAGACCTTCAATTTTCAGAAACAATCATTGCCACTTGTTTGCTTTGCTGCAAACGTTAACTGTGGGACTCTGAACATGTTGAAAAATGCCATTTTTCAAACTTTAGGACATGTTGCCATGGTAACCATGACACGTAGCAACCAATTTCTGCCTGATTTGAGTTTACGGTATCAAAGACTTTTATCATAGAGAGTTTGGAGAAATTCTGAGACTATGCGTGCCACAGCTTCTATATAAAAGTTCAAGTCGTTACAGAGAATGGCTCTTAACATAACCAGTTTTATTTATTCGGAATTCCTTAATGAACATTGGAGGGATTTGAATATACTAGTAGATCTGAAGGGGGCAACCAGTCTTACAATGAACATTTTCATACTAAATTAACAGTAAAAATGTACTTTAAGAAAAGATCTTTTTTTTTTGGTGGTGGTGGTGGTGTGTGTGTGGGGGGGGGGGGGGGTCCCCACACAAATACCGCATGCCTGAATGTTATGTTTAACTGAGTGGAAGTTGGGTGCGGGTGAAATAACTTTTCATAATCAATTGTATCAGTATGGAAGTTCTCAAACTATTTTTAGTCCAAAGTAGAAAAATAAAATCCTCATGTTCACCTGGAAAGGAAAGTTACATGCAGGTGAACATTTTCTACAGTGTTGGATCTTAGCCAATTTGAGAGCTAAGACTTATTCAATCTTATAATAAAGTGTATTATTATGTTTCCTCTAAGTTTGTCTCTGTATAATTATTACCCAATTTTTTTCACATAGTTCTATGGTCGATACAATGACCTTGTCAGCAAATACAATTTATTATTCAGTCAAATGCTAACTGACGTTTTTCGTACTAATTGTTAGGCCATTATTTACACACTGAATTGTCGACAGATTCCCCCGTTATTTCCCGATCATGACAAGGAGAACACGGTGGGTGTGATCTGTCAGCAGGGGATGCTCACTCCTCCATAGCACCTGATCCCACCTCTGATGTTTTAGAGGTCAGTGTTTGCTCTGCTCCAAAATTTGTATTGTTTAATGGACCTTTGAGTTTGAATACTGTTCGTTATCTCCATATATTTCATAGTACATGTATACAAAGGATTGATATAAAAGCATACTATGTCGAAATAGTGCACAGCTTCCATTTCTATAGAAAATTTGGCAGAACCCACGCTAGGGATCGAACTCTCAACTCCTAAAACGTCAGTCCACAGAAACTGTTATGTTTTATACATTTGACACATAACAAGAAATAAACAAATCTAACTGTAAAAATACTGTCATATTTAATGAAGATTTTAAATTATAAAAAATTACTAACAATTTACAGAGTACATACATCGATATGTGAACTGTATCCATGGAGTCGTGAAAACGTTTAAATTTCATATAATGCTTGATTAAAGAATGTACAAGAAAATTTAATGTGCATGCAAAAATGGCACATTCTTATATACGACTGACGGTTTTTAATGATATTTGCTTTGATTACTTAGCGGGTAATATATGTGATCTTGCTATTCTTCACAAAAATTTATTTATATACGTACTTCTGTTTGTTAGAATATTTTGTTTTTCGTTATTATTTATTACGATTTCCTTTGTACTTGCTCTTTTTTTATTTTATTTCACTTGAGTGGATAGATGTATGACTTTAAAGTAGCAGCAAGGAGTATCTCTTGCTAAAGAAATTAATGACTTTCTCAAAACTACCATTTTTTGTTTGCATTTTTTATATTGTTAGCATCATTAAAACTTCACATACTTTTTTTCTGATTTTGTGCTCTGTTTTGTGATATAATTATACAGTAAGGCACATGGTTTATTTTAATAGGGTCATAGACCTGCAGAAGCATTTTCTTCAGCTAATTGGAACAATGCATTCATTAACTTGAGAAAAGAAAGAACCCAATTTATTGTCTCCAAGCAGGCTATATAAGCCTTAGATGTAGAAATGAAATAAGTAAATTGATAAATACAATGCATCAGAATTTATTTTGTAACCGACAATGAATATGAAGGTGTAACGGAGATTTTATGGTAGTTATTTACACAACATTGGCAATTAAATGTATTACGTCTGTATCCTTCGTTCTGAAACAAAAAAATGATGATACTATAATTCAGTATCTCCAAGAGTTTTTTTTTTTTTTTTTTTTTTTTTTTTTTTACATGTATTTTGATTAATATTTAACAATTCACTGAAAAAGTATTTTTGCACAGAAAAGGAAAGCTAAGACTACAGTTTTGCAATAAAAACTTTTCTACTATGAAATTTATTTCCTTTGGACTCCTTCTTGTGGAAACACTTTAAAATGCTTAGCATTAAACATTCCTGTGGCCGATTTGATGTTTTATGGGTTCTAGACATCTAATGAAATCGGAGTTATCCCTCTTCAAGTGCAATCGATAACACATAGCAAAATGTAAATAAATCCGTGCGCATCGTGAATGCTGCAATCAAGACCATAAGGAAGATTGCACTTCTGTCAGCCTGCATTTGATTCCTTTATCACTGATACTATCTGAAGATTGAAACATTCATTTTATCTTCTCTTTATGAATTTTAGTGAAAAAAAATTTTCTTTATTTTTTTAAAACTTTAAGTATTTGTAATAAAAATATATCAGTTTTCTACTTCGATCTCTTGTTTTAGAGCAAGGCAATGGTCAAAAGGAAGAAAAACTAAAAATGAAGAAATCTTATGATACTGACAATATATCTAGCATTATTTGTGATTTCTTTGTGTAAGCCACATGTACATGTGATAAAAACTTTTGCACATATTTATGTTTTCTTTCCGCAAAATACATGTACCTCGATTTTAGCGGAAGGTAAAAATTAATAGTACTATTAGTTTTTCATGTTGGGTGGTGAACTACAAGTATTTGACAATAAGTAATTCAAAATAATCACAAAATATAAGCCCAATGAATTATAATACTGTGCTGACCTAGAAAACACCCTTTAAAAAATCAATAAAAAGCTACTTATTATTTTAAAGAAATATTTTTGATCAATTAATAGTGACTCACAAAATTGCCTAAGACCCAAACATTATTCAAAAAATGACACACACTGTATATAATACATCTATGTCAGATAATTTTGATAGAACAGGATTACAAGGACTAAAAGGATCTACATTAATCATTTCAGTTTTGGCCAGGCATATTCTCTAGCATTGATTATATATCAACACATTGTCACAGGCATCGATAGATTGATTTGTAATGAAGAAGATGTTTCTCAGTCGTGGATTGAAGCACAGTTTAACGGGGTATTTGACTTTGTCTATGATGACCTGCTGTTTCGTGAAGTTCTCCACAAGACGAACAACTAGACTGGCTCCATTGCTGCAAACGTACACATTATTGTCGATGTCCACCTCCACGCCAGCGGCACCTTTTAGGTTCACTTCGTCCTGGAGGACCAGTTCTATGGTTTGATCAGGGTTAACAACCAGAAGCATGTGTTGTCGTATGTCTGTGACGAAGAACCTTCCGTTTTCGTCCGGACGAGATGATATGTAATACGGTCCTTTAAGTTTGTTGATTCCGGTTTTATCTCCGTGGAGAATCTTAGAAATTTTTCCTCGTTTGTCGATGAATTTTATGGCCGCTTTGAATTTGCCCATTTCAGAGAAAGTGACGATGAATCCGTCATTATGGAAGGCGATTCCTCTACAGGCCCCGTAAGTTTCAAAGTATCTGACGGGAGCAATACTTTCCCGGACTCGGTAAATTCTTATCTTCTTCCGGTGTGGAAAGGTTACAGCAATGTGGTCTCCATCAATGCTTGTCATGTCCCACGGTGCATCAAACTTGACGTCTCCACAGCTGAGACTATGCTTGAATTTTCCATCTTGGTTGAAGAGTTTAAGACTTCCATTTTCATTATCTGCAAGAATGATATTTCCATTCTCCATGTAGACTGCTCCAGTAAAATTGCAAACCTTGAGATCAGATGAGATACCTCCACTAAACTGAGACAGTTTCTCGACAGCGCTGTCAGACAGAGACTTGTGCTTTGGAGGGTCTGCCACTTTTATTTTGTTGTCATGAGCAGTAAGATGACCGATTACTTTCTCTGCCAAAGCGTTTTCCTCAAAATCAGGCGAGAAAGTGTAATTGTAAGACCTCTGCTTGTTAGCGTTTTTATCAGATACAAATTCTTTTTCCGTGTACCTCTTTAATTCGTCAGCAGCAGGAGCATGGAAAAGTATGTGACCCTTGATGTTCCTCTTGATACTTGAATCAAGTTTCTCTTTTCTGTCAACCATGGCGTTCATCATTTTTCTGTAACGTGCAATTTGCTCATCCAACAGATCCATTTCTCCTTGATGGACTTTTTCTATTTGCTGCACTGCTTTTGATTCCATGGTGTCCAAAACCATCTTGAAATCTTTTATCTTTGCTGCCACCTTCTCTGTAGCTTGCCTTTTTTCTTTTATCAGTTTCTTCTTATTTTCGCCTTTGAATTGTATGACGGAGTCTGCGTACAGAGCACATTCTTCCACTTCATCCAGCAAATTATCGAGATTTATTCCAAGGTCTTTTTCCACTTCCACTTCTTCCACATGCTTGACGTTTCCGCATTTTCGATGATCCAACGCAACACAAGTCACGCACACAAGACATGCATGATCCACGCAAAACAAATCCAATTCTTTCTCAGTATGGAAAGAACAAGTGGTTGTGCTTTCCTTGTCATACACATGTTCTGGTTTCAAGGAAAATATGTCAACAATCTCATGATCTTTCAGAAGTTTCATGCTTTTATGCTGGTCGATGCAGAATGCACACAACCCTTCCTGGCAGTTAACACACCAGTGAGACGCGGCCTTGAGCGGTTCCCCTTTACCTTGACATGGTTCGCAAAATCTCACCTGAAAAGTTTTGTCCATAAAGGAAGAAAATGGACGTTCCGAAATCTGCAGTTTTGGGTGTTGTAGAGTATTGCGAGCACTTTGGGAACCAGGTAAGCCTGTAGTTGATCGCGGACTCAATTTTGCAGTCATCGGAGTCTGAGATGAGTCCAAAAGGTCGTTATAAGACGACGAATACCGCTTGGACCTGTGAGACAATGGCGTTGGAGAAAAGATATCCTCAATGAGTGGCATAGCTTCTCTACAAACAGGGCATGGTACTTCGATGTTTGGAAGTTTCCCGTTTTGAGAAAATCCGGTCACGTAAGATTTAATGCATGATTCACAGAAAATGTGAGAACAAGGTAGCGCACTTGGGTTTTTGAGACCCTCATCACACAAGGGACATAACAATAGGGAATCTCTCCTAGAATGGCTGAAGAGAGATGAAGCCATTGCGATTTATAGAAAGGACGCCGTAAACTGTATATACAGGGAAATATATCATTTGTAGTTATTTATTAAACTTAAAAAATTATACTGAAAGGACTTTAAAATTACAAAGACAATGGAGGTCTTCGTGCGTTTCGATGATTTTTTTTCTTTGTGTTAAATGTGTATTAGTAAAAAAATTTTAAAAAGATTTAAAAGGTTTTACAATGAGAAATTTAACTGGCTGTCGTTGTAACGAGATCGAAGTCATTGATTTAATATTTAAAATACACCTACAGGCATTCACTGCAATAACTTTTAAGTGGAATATGAGAAAACATGACGTAATTATCAATAAAAGAAAAAAATTAAAACGATAGGAAATACGTTGTTCTTGAAGGATGTCACTGCTCGTGAGCAATTTAAGGATTAGTCAATCTTTATTTGACTACAATTTAATGTAACCCATCTATCGTCTTTAATGTTGTTATAACCTGTGACTTATGCTAATGCACAATTGACTTAAGGTCGATACCCGCTTTATGTAATTGTCAAAATATTTGTAAATTTGCAGCTGTCCAGCAATAAACGAGCATTAATTTTCTATTCTCAAACCCCCTTAAATTTGGGGCTTCAATAACTTGACTGCTGTTTCGGACCAATTTATCAAAGATGCGTAACGTACACGGCATATTATCTTCTGCTCATTACAAATAGGTGCAATTAAATTCACAAGAATAAATGAAATAATAATTATATAGTTAGCACGAGTGCTAGTCGAGTCGATATTTGTGTTCACGTAATCGAATATTTCAATCTTGCCTAGATTATACTCATGGGGCAAACGCGCTTGTTCACATTAGCGACCTACTGAGCAAAAATTTAGAAAAGTATCTTTCTTCAACAGTTTGTTTAACGTTTATTTTTGATCTCCAAAGTTGTACATCTTTCATTATAAAACTTATTATGTATTCTACAAGCAAATTGTATGAAAAAATTAACTTGAAATCTATCTTCAAATGAATTTGTAATCCGAAAAACGCATGAAACTGTTAGGTAAGCTTGTTGCGAGAATTCTTTAAATAATTCAATTTTAACATTTGACCGAACCCAGGGTTCATTAACGATGTTATATTTTATTTTGAATTATTTTACGCAAGAGTACTTGAAATTTGTTATTGAAATAAATTAAGGAATGAGAATTAAAGAGCTGAAATAATTTTTTCTTCATAAGCGGCATATGGTTTTATTGCAGATTAAAATTAAGAATCTATTTGATATCTGAAGCAAACTGAAATAGCCGGAAGGTCTCATATAAATGAATACCCACTTAAAAGTACAAAGAACCATCTCTCCGGACAAGATATTAACAGCCCACGGGATGCTGGTGCCCAAGTCAGAAATGTCCCTCTTGAATTATTAAACTTCAAAAGATTAAAACGCCAGATTAACGTTACGGGACGTCCTAACCGCATGCAATTTGGCGAGAGAGCAGCTAACATTAGTTTTGAGTTTCTATGAGACCTTGTTTTTATTCATTACTTATCAAAAGAATAATTTTCGGTAAGTAGTTGCATCATACGTTTTTATCAATGGAAGTTTTATTTTATGATTTGAATGAAAACCACTTAATTGAGCTGTCAATCCTTGCTTGTAGAATGAAGACAATTTATCTCTGAAATCTGGCGTTCTTGAGATATTTACAGACGATGGCTAATAAAGATATACGGAATTCAAATAATCCTCATTTAAAACAACAAAAACTCGCGAAAATAATCATATCAGAAAATTGTTTACACAGTTTCCCCCACTAAATGGTCATTTCAATGATAATCAGTAGTCCGACTGTGGAAATCATTGGCAATTTATTCAAGTTGGACCAGAGAACATAATGCAAAATAGAGAAGTGTTATGACATCTTCATCTCGGCGGAAAATCATCTTGATCCCTGTAATTCCAACATTAAAAGACCATTATTGTGATACGAATTATCCGCTCATCTATCGTATAATTAATCACAAAAGTTACAACAAATTATAGAGATAGAAGTTTTCTCATTAACTCGCCACAATCTGATTGCCATTTTCCAATTAATTCGGAGGATATGACGAATTTTCCCTTTCGTCACTTTGCAACATTGGTCATTGTACAAAATCTTTGATTAATACAAGAAAAGAGACGATCTGTTAAACGATAAGGAAGAAACTTTCGTTGTTTATATGATAATAAAATTATGAAGTTCTCTCAGGATATTAAATTTATTTGGGTTTTAATTTTTATCTCGGCGGACTTAGACGTTATTTCAGCGTCTTTGCTCGTCTTAGTGTCGGGATAAGAAAAGATCAAGAGACTTTACAACACCGTATTTTGATATCAAATACAACGTTGCCGCAGTCTTGCAATATCACAGATCAGAAACGGAACCCCATCTAAATCAGACCTGCTTGAGAAGTGATTGCAAGCATTTGGTCAGGATGAATTCTGTGGGGAACGGAATGTTGCTCCCCCATGCCCCTGATCAGAGACGAGAGAGCTGTCCACTATCCCCGTCAGCGATAAAGACCGAAAAAATGACCGAGGTGGATAAAATGAAATATGAAAATATGGCCTCGGTGTCAAGCACCTTCAAAGGTAGGTGATAGTAAGAATATATATTTAAGAACACGAATAAACCAGATTTATTTTTGTAAATCTCTCTGGATAAGAATGTGTTAATCAAATGAAAATGAAATTAACTGAATTAAGGTTAAATTTTTAATATTATTAAAATTTTTGTTAGGACATTTCTTAAAAATATGTGAAGTCCTATAAAAAAAATCTATAATTTTTTAAATTTGTTACTTTAAATAAATAAGACATGCTTCTTCACTTTTATACTAAATTACCATAACTTATAAAAATGAACTATTCTCAACAAAGAAAACGTTTTTCTTTACAAAAAAAAACCTTATAGCTTTCAATAGAATAACATGTACATTATTTTTTAAACAAGAATAGAACAGCAATTAGTTTTCTATAGATATTCAAACCGATTGCTTTCAAATTGGTCTTCATCTGTCAGAGGACAACCCAGATTGACAGAATCATTTTGTATCTGCATAATCCCCCGTGTCTCGGGACCTCTGTTATTCAAATGTTCTTGTTATCCCCTTGAAACTGTCTAAGGCCCATCTGCTGTGATCATCGCATTCATATGCAGGTCTAATTAGGATCGGTTTCTTCTCTGTGTTAATACTTTGTCCGACGGTAAGAGTCCGAATAAAATAGGTGTAAATGGCTTCATATTCATGACTCAATAAATCTGGTATAATTATGTTCTGTTTTTAATAAACATTTACCTTAATCTTATAATGCTTTTCAAAAGAAAATCATTAAATGTTTGTAAAATTTCATGTAGACCTTTACCCCTTCTTTATTAAATCTTAATTCTAACAATCAACGAAAGAAAAAAACAAACACTTTTATTAAAAAAAGAAAGCTTTCTTGCATAAAATATAAATGTGTTTTGTTTTTAGATGAAAATTCTAACATGTGCAGAGATATATATATATATATATATATATATATATATATATATATATATATATATATATATATATATATATATATATATATATATCCTTCTCAAATCTTATTTCTAATAATTAGCCAAAGGAATTGCATTGATATCTCATGCATCGTGTAGCTCTCAAAGTTATGTCATTTTAGAAAAATATATATAAAAACCTGCAAACAAGAGATAAAAACTATTTAATTTTTACACAATTTATTTTGTAAACATTGGCTGTTATATATTTGAATTGTTATCTGCTTTATTATTACTACTTACACAAAAGGCAGTCTGGGACGGTGATATTAACGTGATTAAAGCTTTAAAATGATTAAAAATATATTAATCTCCAAACCCCTAAACAAGATTTATTTGCATCATGGGTGACAGGTTATTTGTTTCAATCATTTAATCAAACGAAGTCGGTCGGAGAGTCACCACATGGGACGACATATTGTCACATTTCTTATTTCTGTTTGCCACTCTATAAATTGAAATCAGGTTTCGGATTTTATTATCCGCAATTAAAGCGCCTAAATGATCCGGATCATCACTTATCCTGCTGGCAGCCTAATTCCGGTCAGGACAATTGATAGGCATGTAAGAGACGAAATGATTGGCTATTAGCATACAAATGTCCTATCAGATGTCCAGTAATGATCATGGACCAAGGAAGAACAATTGATATTTATATTTATTGGTTGCTGACAAAGATAGCATTTTTCTTCATTTCGATTTCTTTGATTCTTTCATTGCTGTGTCTCTTTACAAAAAGGGCAATAATCTAGTACTGTAAGGAAAAACCTGTTAATAATAAAGTCTGTCGAACGTGTAAGCATGCACTTAAACGGCAAGATGAATGGAAAGATCCTTCGTAATGGACATCTTTTAAGACAATCATGAACATTTTTGACTTGAATAACTCATCAAACATCACATTTGTAAACTTACACATGTATTTTGTATTTTTAGTTTTGCATGTGTATTTGAATTGCACCACAAAACCTAAATTTTGTGTGAGTACAGTTTTACTCAAAGTCTTAAAATTCTCAACCTAGAATAGTTTTCAATGAAAATTTGGATATTAATACCACTTAGGTCAATTTATCTTTGATTGTAAATTTTAAGCTATAATTTCTTTTTCGTTTTTTTTTAATTTGTTTTTTTTTTAATTTTGTTTGTTTGTTTTTGGTAGCTCTATTTTCGTTATTTAGTATTTTTACATAAAACACTTTATAAACTCAAGTGCCTTTTGTGAATAGATTTATGTGTAAATAAGTCTGTCAGTTTAGAGATTTAAGTATACATACAGCTGTATATGCAGAGTAAAAAGTAAAAATATTTCTTTTTCTTTTTTTTTTTTTGGGGGGGGGGGGGTGGGGTGGTTCTTGTGGTTTGAATATGGAGTATATAGAATTGCTGACACGATATTAGCGAAACTTCCCACTCCCTTATTTTTCTGTCCGGGTGTATATTTTTAAAAAAAAATTAAATATG